TCGCAACCGTTGATTGGATGGCGTACCAAGGAGCACCCCCAGAGGGAATGACGGGAAGAATCAAGATGACAAAATGGTGGTCAGGAACGAATTGCGCAGATGTGACCTTTCCAAAGGCAAGTTATTCTTTAACCAGTTCACCAGTATTGCAATACTTTCGATTCAACAGATGCAGCTCCATTTCCACGGAAAAAAATAAGACATTGAAAACATGAAGAAAAAGAAACACTTTTTCGCGGAGAAGTTAAAAGATTAAATCAAAAGTTGTAACTTGCTAAACTTTGAATTTAGTTTGGTACTTCTCTCTACTTGAAAATTAAATTGGTTAAGATTAATTTATTAACATCACTTCAGATCAAACATAGTTACAAAATAATGCAAAAACGCACTAAGACCACTAAGTGATGATATCCCCGCATGTGTATAGGACAAGTTTAAAGCTTTACCAGTTGTCCTTGTGACGTCTGATCACCAACGAAGTGGAAAGGATCACGACGCTGCGTTGATCTGGGCAGAAGATGTATCCAAGGACTCGTTCAAGGCTTGTTTGCGTGAGCTTCAAAACTTTGATGGCATCCATCAAGATATTTATGTGGTATGCGATATTCTCTTTCCAAATTCTATCAGTACTCGATGAAGTCCTTACATTAAGACCTTTTTTTTCAGTCTCACTGAAACATCGGCTCGACTCCGTATAATAATCGTAAGTCTGAAGTTGTGCTTAAGCCTGACCAGGACTCTTTACGAGTGTTATTTTTGTTTGGTAAGGAAAAATTGTCCAAACTCACTTCTCAAACAAATAAGTTTCATTACAATTAATTTTTCATGAAATTCAAAGGTCTTTTACCCCATATCATTTGTAACTCATAGAAAATGAAATTCTGTACTTATTATGACTAAATGTGTTGTTTTGTGCTTTGCTTCTTCCCAGACCTGGATGGCGTTTGCTAAGTTGCATAAGCCGCTCTTCACTGAATATGGCTCTGTAAACTTTCCAAACACAAATGCACCAAGAGATGAAGACAACAATGCTTACTGCGAGGTTGGTATATTATAGTCTTCTTAGAAAATAAATGTTCCATGCAAAATTGCGATGATGGAAAATGAATGTAGTTTAAAAAATTGTTTAGGAAAACAAAAATTCCAGAATTCCCCTAAGTACCCTTTTTT